CTCTGATCTAAGCTTACAAAGCTTTGGGGAAATGCCTGGTGAACATATTGGTCGTTTTGATTTTGGAACTGACACAAAAAAGTGCAACAGTCGGGTTCCGGAAATAAAAATTCCATTCATTTTTTCCATAGGAAATTGATTTTCAATGATAGCTTATAAAGCTTTAAATACAGACCTACTGTGAGTTTCAGGGTTGTTAAATGATGGTATGCTTCTGTTGAAGTCTTCAGTTCACATTATTTCAAGTTATTTTTAAAACATCAGTTTAAAAGTTGAATTTCTGGTGGAAAGCTATATGATGCTGTACAGAAAATCTCACCAATCAGATTTGCGGTGAAAGGAGCTTGCATGGAATGCCAACTCCATTGAAGCACTTACTTCCAATAAAGGAAGGACTCGAGTCAAATCTGAATATTAAAGACGTTGGGTTGGTCATTTGACTTGAGGCAGCAAGCAACCACCTAACAACTACCCATAACATCTTAGCAACCAAATAGCAATGCCCTGACAGCCACCCACAAAACCATAGCATCATGCTATTAAAGCCTGAAATGTCATTACAAATGATATCACTAATATAATGTTAATTTAATCAATTAATGGAAATGCATTAGGGCTGTAAAAAAAAAATTAATTTCGAATATTTGTCAAATTTAAAATAAAAATCCACATTCAGGCATTCGAATTTTAGGTGTGCGTCAGACAGCCTTATCAGTGGTGCACGAGATGCGATGACAATGTAAGTGTCGTTGCATTATAATGTTTTTGTTAGCCTATCCAGTTGAAGCCACTAGATGCGGCGCTGCTGCGTTGTTCATTAAAAATATTGCGGAAAAAGAGAACATCAATGAGGAGAGTCAAAACTGAAACCAAGCCGTTAACACAGAACGCAGATTTCACGCATTTTCTAGAGGGACATCTATCACCGTTGCACTCGCATCTCGCACAAAAGAGCCGCATGTTTAGAAAGCCATGTAAAATTAATGTAGGTTTAACTTTTTAAAAAACATATATCGAGACATATATCTGCATCTCATGTTTTTAAATGAAAAATGTACTCTGTGTGATTGGCTTTCTGCCCTTTGTATTAAACTATGCATACATACATGATGCTGTTTTGTTTATAGTTGTTTAAGCAACTTAATTAATTATATATGGTTTATAAACATTATTTTAAAAATTATGCGTTTTTTTTCACAGATAGTCATGTTTAGGGTGACCATATTTTAGTTTTCCAAAAAGAGGACAGTGGGGGGCGGGGGAAGGAGGCAGGGTTTCAACTAACAAAGTAAACGTAGCAAGGTATTTTTTTGTTTTGGTTGTTTTTAGAATAAATAAAAAGAAAACAAGTCAATAGAACAGAAAAAGTATAGATAATGCTTGTGTTAGAAGGTCATTATTTATAATAAATAAAAAGAAAACAAGTAGAAAGGATAGAGAATGCTAGTGTTAAAGGCTCTTTTCTTTTTAAATAAAACAAGTAGTTAGAATAGAAATAGAATAGAGTGCAAATGTTAGAGGGTCAAGTTTATTTAATTAAAATAACAAGCAAATAAAATTAGAATTAGGATAATTCTAGTGCTAGAGTTTGAGGGTCAAATGAAGATGAAAGAGATGTATTTTCAGCCGTTTCTTGAAAATTACCACCAGGAGGGAACAGTTCATGAAAAAATCCATGAAAGTTTCATCACAGGTTAAAATTGAATGCAAAATAATTCAATACAGGCATTTCAGTCAAATGTAATTTATGCAATATTTCAAACCTTTAACCCACTTGGGAAAATAAACCCATGGCAACAGTTTAAAAGCAGCCCAATTCTGTGGGAAAAAACGCGGACTTGGCAACCCTACATCCAACAAGAGCTGCAGGAGTCAGCTTTGACTGATCACAGGTCGAGAATAAGGAGAGATGACTGACAAGACCATGCTGGAGTATTTGCTGCTCAACAGATCCTGAGCTCATTGACAAATAGCTGATTTTGCAAGATGTGCTTCCTTTACACAGAGTGCATGTGATCCCGAAATCGAAAGTGAACAGTGCGAACGCTCATTCAAAAGAGATTTAAATACTCTGCATACTGAGAGCGGCTCCCTGATGCGCCAAGAATGTTTAAAGGATATGAAAATATGTTTAAACGGGATAAAGAATGGGAATTAGGTCCAAAAAATGTCCGGGGAAAAGTGGACGTGTGGTCACACTAGTCATGTTATCTTACTGAATAAACGTGCATTAGTAATATTTTGCTCGATGCGCCCTCAGAAGAGAAGCCAAAAGCTTTTCTACACCCTAACTGAAATTATGCATTTTAAATTTGAATATAATTCGAATTCTGATCATATTTAAGTACAAAGTTTAGTTTTTCAGACATTTTGACAGCCCTAAAATGCACCCAAACATCCATTTTTAAACAGGAACGATCTAATGCATGTCACCATGTGGCACATATTCTGGGCATCAATGCACCAGATGCTAGACAGCAGGGGTCAGACCATCACACACATCAAGAGAAGACAATCTCTCCACATTTATTCTAGAGGAAAACTTCCAGTGACACGAGCAATGATGGATTGTCACATCCGTGTTTTAAAATCAGCAGTACAGTGTGCTCTGGGCTGTAAGGACAGGGTCACCGGGGAGCTCGTGCCCTTGTTGGCATTGACTGAACATCCTACAGATGAATTCATAACACACGCATGGACGCACGCGCCCAAACATCTGATGCATCCCGAACGCATCTGTTGACTCTGAGATTAATAGTATGAAATAAATTATTTCATTCTTTCTTCAGTCGCAAAGAAATTAAGGTTTTTGAGGAAAACATTCTAGGATTTTTCTCCATATAACGGACTTCAATGGGGACCAACGGGCTGAAGGCACCTTTCAATGCACCTTCAAAAAGCTCTACACGATCCCAGCCAAGGAATAAGCGTCTTAATTAGTGAAACGTTCAGTCATTTTCTTAAAAAAATTAATAAAATAGTTTAGGCCTATATATTTATTAACCAAATGCTCATCTTGCACTAGCTCGACTTCACGCATTACGTAGTCACGTTGGAAAGGTGAGATGGTTTTCGTCCTACCCTCTGAACCGAAGTACACAGACGAAGAGCTAACCGCACGTGACCTTTCCAACGTGATTACTTAATGTGTGAATTTGCGGACGTGCATCGCGGAGCCAGTGCAAGACAAGCATTTGTGGTCGAAAAGTATATACTGTATATATATATATATATATATTTTTTTTTTAAATGACCAATCGTTTCGCTAGATAAGACCCTTATTCCTCGGCTGGGATCGTGTAGAGCCCTTTGAAGCTGCAATTTGGACATTCAGTCCGTTGGCCACCATTGAAGTCCATTATATGGAGAAAAATCCTGGAATTTTTTCCTCAAAAACCTTAATTTCTTTGCGACTGGAGAAAGAAAGACATGAACATCTTGGTTGACTTGGGGGGTGAGTAAATTATCAGGACATTTTTATTCTGGAAGTGAAATAATCCTTTAAATGTTACTATATGGTAATTTTGGGAACCAACACCTAATGTTCTAGAAACAATCTTTTATGTTTTTAATAACCAAAAACGAACGTTCCCGGAACATTAAGGGAAGGTTTTTGTGTAAGTACATTATAAGAACGTTCTGTAAAGGTTATTTTTCAGAACCAAAAACTAATACTGTAAAAAATGACTGTGAATTTAACGGTAAAAGACTGTAAAATAAAACCGTAAAACGTTGCTACCTTATTTTTTACAGTAAAATTCCGGCAACCACAGCTGCCGTTTTTTTACCGTAAATTTTACGGATTTTTTTTTTTTTACAGTGGTCTGAATGTTAAGGAAGGTTTTTGTTCGACAACCTAAGAACTTAAACAGAGAGTTCAGTAAAGCTTGCATTACGGTTTATTTGATTTAAAACCATACTGCCCTAGTGAAAAAACCCTAAAGCAATATGTTACAGTATTCCTATTGGGATTTCTATCATAATCTGGAACCATTATGGAAAAAATATGAATCCGTAAATAATCAAATAAGACGCTATACTGGATAAAGTTCAAGTTTTCAGATGCTTAATCTGTTATGTTTCACGCAGGAAATCTGGGAGACTATGACCTAAAAGACATACTTACTGTAGTATGTTGTAAATTCTCATTAGGATGCTTTAGGGTTGCTTAAATGACTGAATGTAAATGTAAATTATTATATAAATACACAAACCACTATTTATAGTAATATATTAATAGTAATACTATAACTAGTGGTTTGTGTATTTATATAATAATTTAATATTTATATTAATATTTATATCATATTTATATATAATAACTATTAAATAGTAATACATTAGTAATTATATTATTACAACATATAATCTTAAATTTAATGTTTTATTTGTTTCTTTAAAGCCCAAAATCCTGTCTATAAAAGCATAAATAGAACTACAGCGAAATATCTATTCATAACACACTACATAACTGATGAATATTAAATATATGCCACGGACTGTTGACTCATGGATTGAGCTGAAATCTTCTAGAATGATTCAACTTTATATAGCTGTACTACGTTTTTAGTTTTGTAATAACCTGTCTTTGATATGAATTAACATGCAAAGTAATAACTGAAATGTAGTTCATATTTAATTTTAACTGACGCGTGTGTTGAGAACAGTGTTGTTTTAGCATAATTATAATTAAGTAAAATAAGTATCATTTTAATTTAGTTCGAGTTTTAGTATTTTTGTTATTTTTAGTTTTTTTTTTAAATATATATTTGTATATTTTTAAAGTTTTTGTTATTCGAGTAAAACTAAATTAAAATGAGAAATGTTGACTTGGCAACTAGATGAAAAAAATATATTTTATAAATTTTTAAAACATTAACATTTATTTTATTTCAAGTAATGATTTTTTATGGTTTTAGTTTTAGTTAACTATTATAACCCTGGTTGAGAAATACTTTTTTAAAAACATTTTACCAGACTGACAGTATTCGGGTCTGAGTCTTGACAAATAGCGCCCTCTACTGAGAAAACTGCAGAACTGCATTCTCTACACTTCAACTCCTTGCAAAAGAAAACTAACAAGTCAGTTTAAGTAGCCACAACATTTACTCGAGTTCGTTTTAGCATGTTAATATAAACCATTAAGACAGAAAAAGAAAACAAGATTGATTGGTAAAAAATAGCTTCGTAAAATTAGCCGGCCAAAGATGATGCTCCACTGCTGACTAGAGTTTTGTTCTTCTTCCTCACTGAAAGCCTACAGAAGCTTCAAAGTAAATACTACCTCCAAATATACACAACGGAAGATGGGCTGAACATTTTCCACAGATGGTTCTTCATAGAACAATTGAGAAATGTGCAAACTGTACTATTTACATTTAACAAGTTACACTAGACCTCTTATGTTAGTCTATGGTAGTGAGTGTAACGTCCGAAAATGACAGACCTCGCATGAATTCGCATGGAGCGAGATGGGAATTTCATAATATATGATCCCTGGTTCTGTCTCGCCTATTTAAGCGAACATGACGACACGTAGAAAGATGAGCACTATCACTCATATTCAGAGATGTCAAACAGTGTCTGTTAATTTCATGTGGACTCTGTATATAATACATGGAATATGTTCTCCGTATTCCCGTTTCACAGGGACGCAGAGTCACGTTTTCCGCAGTCCAGTCACAGCTGAAGCCAGCAGTACCTAAAAAAACCACGCAACTCAGTTCCCAAAGCGACTTCGTCCACGAGGGCCCCCCCTTCCCCATCCACCCCGATGAAACGGTGGCTCGTTTCCAAATCTGTCCGGGCCCCTTTCAGGTCCTTGATCCCGCCAGTGCGGTTCCTCTCCTCTAGGACCCATTGGGAGCCTGTGACGGGGGAAATCGTGTCTTGGAGGACCTATCATGCGCATCCGGAATCGCCCTGCAGGGGGTTCTCCGAACATGGGGTTGGGGCCCCTAGGGGGCATCATTTGAGGGGCCATATTGGGAGGGGGCAGGATGGGACGGGCGTTATTAGCGAAAGGGGGCATGAAGGGTGGGCGGAGCCCCACAGGGTGGTGTGGCGGTAGGGGTCCCGGTCTGGGCCCCAGAAACCCCCTGAGAGGCGGCGGACTGAGCGCTTGAGCTCCTGTCGGGTCCATGTGACTCTTGGGAGCCTCGAGGGATTCATTTGAAGGTTCTTCGGTTGGGGTTTCTGTTATTACAAAAGACAAAAACATCACTAGCTTTAGTAAACATGTTTAGCTACAAACAGAGTGTAGAGTGTACAGAGTTTGATATCACTGAAAATTTTTGTTTTAACAATTCAAAGATTTTACAAACCATTATGGTTTCTTTGGAGTTACGTGCACTGGTAAATCATTTACAAGACAGTTTGAATCATGAATCGTTTCAAAATTGGACCAGGAACATGTATCAAGTTTTTTGGCCAATTTTGATTTCATGTTGAATTTAATTGTACATCGAGTTACAGCTGATTGATACCTGTGACGGATGGAGGAGGACCTGCGGGGTTCATAGAGACCACCGGGGCGGCAGGAGGGAATCCTGTTCAAAAACAAGGTAATAATTCATGTTAAGGTGACTTAGTGTTATTATTTCATTCTGGTCTATCTATTCATCTAGACACTGACAAAAGGTTTGGGGTCGGTAAGATTTTTTTTAAAGATCATCAAAAATACAGTCAAATTATGAAATATTATTACAATTTGGGAGGAGGACCTGCGGGGTTCATAGAGACCACCGGGGCGGCAGGAGGGAATCCTGTTTAAAAACAAGGTAATAATTCATGTTAAGGTGACTTAGTGTTATTATTTCATTCTGGTCTATCTATTCATCTAGACACTGACAAAAGGTTTGGGGTCGGTAAGATTTTTTTTTAAGATCATCAAAAATACAGTCAAATTATGAAATATTATTACAATTTAAAATAAGTGTTTTCTATGTGAATGTATAGTAAAATGTATTTTATTTCTGTGATGCAAAGCTGAATTTTCAGCATCATTACTCCAGTCTTCAGTGTCACATGATCCTTCAGAAATCATTCTAATATGCTGCTTTGCTGCTCAAGAAATATATCTTATTATCAATGTGGAAAACAGTTTCTGTGCGGCTTCATATTTTTGTGGAAACCGTGATCCGTTCTTTCCCCAGGATCCTTTGATGAATAGAAAGTTAAAAGGAACAGCATTTATTTGAAGTAGAAATCTTTTGCAACATTATAAATATCTGTACTGCCACTGTTGAACAATTTAATGCATCCTTGCTGAATAAAAGAAAAAGAAAAAAAATAGTAGTACCTGCAGGCATCTGCGAGGGGTTGAATCCAGGAGGAGGGAACGACGGAGGGGAGGCTCCTGTGATCATGGCTGGAGGTGGTAAACGCATGTTAGGAGGGGGTCCTGGGACATTCAGTGTAGCAACAGGTTGAACTGAAGGGCTCTATAATGTCGAGAAGAGGAACAGCTTTGTGAAAGGACATTTCTAACAGCAATGAGACTTGAGAAATCAAAGATATGTTTATAAGGACATGAGGAGGCAAAGTGTGTTCTGCTGTATTCTTTATTGCACACAAAACACAAATAAACACTTTAGATATAACCTTTTAAACTACAGCTCAAAGTTTTGAAATCAAAATTGAGGATCAATCCTGGAAGAAGTAATTGACATAATCACATGTGCAAGGTAATACTATTTCGATTTTTCATGTGAAAAATATATCAAATTGATTTGCTGCCATCTGAAGCCATAGACTCAAAACTAAAGATCTTACATGTACAGGTACTGTACAAAATTCTGACCTCAAAACACTGAAGATGTTTCTTCTTCCATCATGCAAATAACTACCGTTTAATATTGTATGATATAACAAAATCCATTGCCTGAACCTTGCATAATATGCACTCTGAAATGTCAGCACCAACTTGAAGAGACTTTAGAAGTTGGTATAAAATCCTGTGGAGAACATCCTCATGCCAAGGTGCCATGGTGAAGGCATGTGTTTGGCAAACTTATTTTCACCAAAGTGATCTCAGGGCATGATAGTACTTTACAAGAGAGAGCCAGGTTGTTCATGAGAGAGTGTGAATCTGTGGTAACATCTCCATGATGGTGAAAAGATTGTGGATGACATTAAATATACAAATGTAGAAGCAAGCAAATCACCATCATCTTTGACAAGCAACATGACTCCAGTCCATCAATTAACGTCTTATGAAGTGAAAAGCTACCTGTTTGTATGAGACAAATCTATCATTAAGACTTTTTAACTTCAAATCATCCTCTATACATAATATTGCTTTCTCCAATGAAAAAGTTGAATCAGGAGAGAAATCTGCACAGACCAAGCACCGTTTTCTATTGAAAACGGTCCAAAACAGCTGTAAACAATTATGTGGATGGATGCTTTTTCACTGGAGGAAGCATTATTATGGACTCGTATTTTGGGCAGAAGGGACGTTTAAAGTTGAAACTTATTTTAAAGTTTTAAGTTGTTTCTTACAAACACGCAGCTTTTCACTTCACAAGATGTTAATTGATGGACTGGAGTGGTGTGGATTATTGTGATGTTTTTATCAGCTGTTTGGACTCTCATTCTGACGGCACCCATTCACTGCAGAGGATCCATTGCTGAGCAAGTGATGTAATGCTACATTTCTCCAAATCTGTTGAAGAAACAAACTCATCTACATCTTGGATGGCCTGAGAGTGAGTACATTTTCAGCAAGTGTTTACTTTTGGGTGAACTGTTCTTTTAATGTAAAGCATTAGCACAAACTCAGTTTCACATAGCCAGTCTTTGACTACCAGCATAAAGTCTGGTCCACTATGCAACTTTTCCTAGGCTACCCACTGAATACTTTACACAAATTTTGCCCTGATTTACAGTATGGACGAATTGACAACGTTGCTGACAAAGTCTGCAGATTTGAGAAGACTTGTTTCACTGAAAATCACAGTGTATAATGAACACAGACTCGGATATTTTTTTTAGCTTCAGTCTGCAAATCGATCCAGTGGGAGGATATCAAACATGTTTTGAGAACACTTACGGTTTTCATTTGCCATGCGTCTCCTAGAGCGTGTTTCTGTGTTTGTTGTGTTCGTAACGACTTGAAAATCTGAAAGAATGTGATCCTCAACCATTTAGTGTATGATTACCAGTTTTAATCTGTAACCATTTTCAAAAGCCAGCAAGGGTGTGATGCCTAGTGTTGTAAAATCTGTTCAGATTTGAAAATGTGTGTAGTGTATTCAAGCCTCTAAACAGTGAAAAATTGGTCTGCGCCGTTTTCAAGGCACCTGGCCAGTTCATTTTTTATGTGCAGAGGTTGTTTTTTTTTTCTTTAGATATTTTTTTTATTTAAAATATTACCACAGTGATAGAAAAAAATTAAATGTTTTAAAATAACAGCACAGTGTGCATTAATGTAATAATTGTTTAATGTGTGCATTAATGTAATAATTTCTGTCTGTCCAGAGTCACAGTGGGGAAAATATTTATTTGATCCCCTGCTAATTTTGAAAGTGTGCCCACTTAAAAAGAAGGGTCTGTAATTTTTATGGTAGGTTTATTTTAACATATAGACAGAATATCAACAAAAATATCCAGAAAAAACACATTAAATAAAGGTTAGAAATTGATTTGCATTTCAGTGAGTGAAATAAGTATTTGATCTCCAAGCAAAACATGACTAAGTACTTGGTGCAGAAACCCTTGTTGGCAAGCAAAGAGGGAAGACGTTTCATGTAGTTGGTCGCCAGGTTTGCACACATCTCAGGAGGGATTTTGATCCACTCCTCTTTACAGATTCTCTCTAAATCCTTAAGGTTTCTTGGCTGTTGTTTGGCAACTCGAAGTTTCAGCACCCTCCACAGATTTTCTATAGGATTGAGGTCTGGAGACTGGCTAGGCCACTCCATGACCTTAATGTGCTTCTTCTTCAGCCACTCCTTTGTTGCATTGGCAGTATGTTTCGGGTCATTGCCATACTGGAAGACACATCCATGACCCATCTTCAGTGTTCTGGCTGAGGGAAGGAGGTTCTCGTCCAAGATTTTACAGTACATGGCCCCGTCCATTTGCCCCTCAATGTGGTGAAGTCGTCCTGTACTCTTAGCAGAAAAACAGCCCCAAAGCATAATGTTTCCACCTCCGTGCTTTACTGTAGGGATGGTGGTCTTGAGGTCATAGTCAGCATTTCTCTCCCTCCAAACACGGCGAGACGAGTTAATGACAAAGAGCTCAATTTTGGTCTCATCTGACCACAGCACTTTCTCCCAAGCCTTTTCTGAATCATTTTGATGTTCTTTGGCAAACTTTAAGCGGGCCTGTACATGTGGCTTCTAGAGCAGGGGGATCTTGCGGGCGCTGCAGGATTTCAGTCCATTGCGGCGTAGTGTGTTACCAATATTTTGCTTGGTGACTGTGGTCCCAACTGCCTTAAGATCATTAACAAGCTCCTCCCGTGTAGTTCGGGGCTGATCCCTCAACTTTCTCATGATCATCTTTACCCCACGAGGCGAGATCTGGAGCTCCAGACTGAGGCCAATTGATGGTTGTTTTGTATTTCTTCCTTTTCCGAATAATCGCACCAACAGTTGTCTCCTTATCACCAAGCTTCTTGCTGATGGTCTTGTAGCCCATTCAAGCCTTGTGCAGATCTACAATCTTGTTTCTGACATCATTTGACAGTTCTTTGGTCTTGCCCATGGTGGTGGGAGAGGTTGGAATGGAAGATACAGATTGTGTGGACAGATGTCTTATACACCTAACGAGCTGACATTAGGAGTAACTTTTTAAAGTGACAGGACTAATCTGTGCTTCACATGGGCACATACCCAATCTGTGGGAGCCAGAACTCTTGCTGGTTGGTAGGGGATCACATACTTATTTCACTCACTGAAATGCAAATCAATTTCTAACCTTTATATAATGTGTTTTTTCTGGATTCTTTGGTTGGTATTCTGTCTCTATCCGTTTTCAAAATCCGGATCAAATCAATATTTTCCCCACTGTATAAACACAGTTACTTCACAGACTAACTCAGATAATACGCATATATATCTCATAATATACAGAATATAATATAAATAATCATATATAATTAAATTAAATATATTATGTTATTAAAAACTTTTTTGACTGCCTTGAGGCTAAGATTGCCATGGAGAGAATTTAGAGGGAACTTTTTAAGTTTTGCTCCAGTAAAAGTTATACATATATTCACTTTTCAGCAATTCTTTTTATAATTCTTTATTGTTTCAAAGTTTCAGTGAATGGACTGAATCCCAGATATCCACTGACCATGGCTGGACTTACCATTGGCTGGACTTACCGTCAGACATACCAAACCCAATGTTTGGGTAGTTTTTGTGTTACTCAGATCCTGGGTCAGACATATTATTTATTGTAGAGTTATTTATCGCGGGGATTGCGTCTTCTCTTCTCGAGAGAGCAGTTCTAAGTGCCATCGAATTGATGCATTCTTCGGTATAATACAGGTTTGTGTACATTTTATTTTATCTATAAAATCGTTACTGTGCTGTATATCGTTAAATTTTATG